CTAGCACTAATATGATATACATTGGGTCCACGAAGAATAATTTTAAAGATAGATGGAGGCAGCATAAGTGCTCCTTTAATAATATAAACAAAAAGAAATCAGACTTCACTATCAAAATATTTTTGGCACCTGAAGGAAACAAATAGAACACTAAAAGTTAAATGGAAAATTATTGATAAGGCTAGAACATGTAAAATTGGGATGACCCATGCCCTTTGTGCCTCCATGAAAAATTACACATTATTAAACTTCTAAATAATAATAATCTATTAAATAATAGACATGAGTTAACGGTTTTTTTGTAGGCATCATCAGATTTTTGGTTTGAATTATTATAAAAAAAAAAAAAAAAATATAATAACTTGTTTAACAAATAGCCCAATCATCAGATTCATAGTAGGAATAATTAACTACTAACATGCATACAACATAACACCCTTCATAATCCATAGCCCAAATAAGTAGTTTAAATACCTTACATAAAGATAACCCTTTATGAAGTCGTCGAAAAACAAACGTTACGAAAGTTTTTTTTTTTTTTTTTTTTATATGCACAATTCCCTTTCATAAAAAAAAAAATAAAATAAATAAATAAATCTCCATAAACAAACAAACTAGACGAAGGTTAATACATCTTCCGTTTCATTTTTGACACCCCCCACCTTTCCCCTGACTTGACATCTTGAAAGTATCTCTATACCGCTACTTATTATTAACACCCTACACTCGCCTACCCAATTTAAACAATTCACCCTAGCTGTTACCATGGAAATTTTGATTTCAATTTTTAAAACAAGTAAATTTCAGATATACGTTATTCCAAAAAAAATTTCGCTTGAAGATGGAACGGAGCCCATTTTAGTTTAAACTCAATTTAATATAAAGGATTATATTGAAGTTTTCGGCTCTTGTTTTGAAACATGAGACCTCTTATGTAGCGATTTGGAATCATATTTTTAAATAAATAATTATATATTTATATATATATATATATATATATATATATATATATATATATAAACCATTAATTAAACACACATTCAGGGTTATACAATAAAAAAGTTACATATATTTTATATGAGTGCATATTATGAGAATAATCTAATTCTAATATTATTCAAGAAAGATATGTTTTAATCTAAAAATAAAATAAAAGAAAAAATGCCAGTAGGAAATAACCAAAGGTGGAACAAATGTTTATTTTTAATATTCTTCATTCATGTGCCATGTCCCCTTCAGGACATAGGCTATCATGGCTTTCCACATCTTCCTGTTCCTTGTAGCTCCTAATAATTTTGTCTTTTTGTTATTTGTACCAAATTCTGTTTTTTACCATTCATTTACACAAGCTCATCAAGTATTTTATATGCATATTTTTCTCAGTCTCTTCCCTCTATTTATTCAGTGAGTATCAAATTTTCCAAGCCTTCCTTCTTCATTATGTATATTAGAAATTTCAGTTACCACTTCTTGATGTTAAGTATAAGTTACTTTTTGTTTCTATTCTCTCAAAACCTTGTCATTGGTCACATGTTCAGCTCATGGTAACCTCGGCATCTTTCTGTAGAACCACATTCCTGTTGCTTCAAGTCTCTTCTTCATTTTTGGGGAGATTGTCGAGCATTCACTGTCATAGAGGAGGACAGATATCATGTAACAGTTCAGTACTCTTTTCTTTGTTTCCAACAAAAATTTTCCTGTCTCAATACTTTGTTAACTTTTGGATCCTAATAAAAAATGGATCTCAGTGTCTCAAAATCCATCCTCTGTTAGAACACTTCTTAGATATTTAAATTTCTGTAAATTTGATTTTAGTATTTCTGACATGTAATTTACATTTTGGGTTCATGCTTTTGTTGATGACCATGTATTCTACCTTCTTGTAGATTATATTGCGTCCTTTTTCTCAGTTTCCTTCATTAACTTGTGTAGGGAGGCTCTGTAGATTTCTTTGTATGTCTGCTATCAGCACTGTTTAATCTGCATATTTTATATTGTTAAGATTGTAGCTGCCAATAATGAATATGGATAAGACTTCTAATTCTTTGAAAATTACCTTGCTGTATAGGTTGAATAAATTTGGTCAGAAGACATCCTTGTCTTGCAATTCTTTCTTTATTTTATATGACCTTCTCATTTTCTGTCCGTATTCAGGCAGTTTGCTGCCAGTATAGATTCTTGATCATGCTAATGTCTTTCTTGAATATGTCAAGGTTGCTGAGCAGCTCTAACAGATTTTTTGATTATACTTTATTGAATACCTTTGTGTAGCCTATAAAGTCCGTCTGCATTTGTATTGCTCTTTCTGATGACATTCTAAGCATAAAAAATTGCATTCCTTATTCCGATGTCTTTGAACCTGCACTGTTCTTGTCCTATCTCTGGCCTGATTCTGCTGTGTGCTCTATTCATCAGAATTCAGATGATGAGTTTTTTGTTATGTGGCTCAATAGTCTGATTGTCGTCGGGTGGAGTTCATATTCATTTGCACCTGGTTTCTTAGGCAGTGCTATGAAAAATAGCTCTGAAAAGGTCTTCAGAATACGGTTGTAGATTTTATTTATTATCTGTGTTCTTGTCTATATTGAAATCAGCATCTCTATCTTTTTTTTTTTTAAGTTTTACTCCAAGCAAGGTAGGATTGCCACGAGCATGCAAGGGGTTACATAGAGTGTGAGCAAGAGTAAAGAGGTGTGAAAGAGGAAAGGATGAAGAGAAGGATGGAAATAGATCAAGACATCTGGAGATGTCGATTGACATTGCATTTTTGAATAGTTGGAGATTATAGCTATCAGGGAAGCAAGTAAGAGGAAGGGAGTTCCACAGATAGGAAGTGTGATACATGAATATATTGGATGAGAAGAGACGGCTACATTTAACCACTTTGACAGTGAAAGGGTGGGACTGAGATGCTGACCTAGTGGCACTTTTAATTTCATGCAAATTTGGAACCAGCAAAAATAGCTTGTTGGAGCAGTTACCATGAAAGTATTTGTAGAAAAGACAGAGATGGCATGTCTATGAGAGAGACTGTAAATATGACACCAGATCAGGGCTAATCACATTGCATATCCATCTCTAGATTTTTTGTTGAGGACCTTAAGATGAACAGTGGGAGCTCAAAGACCATATATGACATATATATTCCATGCAAGGCTTCAGTTTTTTTTATTTCTGGTCCATCAGTATTTCTGTGTTTGCCAGTTGTTCTTTTTGTCATGGATATATTTGTTCCATCTCTGAATTTTTTTTTTCTCTAATATCAGTGTTCCATCCTTGGATTTTATGCAGCCTGTTGATGAGCATGTCTTCTGTCCTGTTAGTTCTCTTATTTTTTTATGCATATCTTCTTTATTTGTGATACTCATTCTCACTATTTCTGCACATTTTTCTTGAGACATTCTTCTTTAGTCTGCTTGCAGTTGTTCCTTATTTCATTGTGTAGTTTTCTGTATTCCATTCCATATCTTGGCATTGTTTTCTGTCTCCTTCACATCAATGTCAAGAATCTCATTTTTTTTTTTATTTATTTTTTCTTCTTCATCTATTTTCTTTTGGAATGATG